GGGGGCACTCCGACGATCAAGTCAGTATATCTCTCAAAGATAATCAATAGTGCTAAACTCACTGTTCAGAATATAAATTGCGTACCTTAGACCCATCGGGAGTGCCTCTTTTTTATAGTTAACTCAATCTTTGTCCCACTAGAAGCCTAGCTTTAATGGACTCTTGTTCAGTGCTTATCCTGGACTCTCCAATAGATAAGATAAACTCCCTAAAAGATTTATCCTTATCCATGCTAAAGTCTTTCCTTATTCTTGTACTCTCGTCCCTTATCCGCTTATCTCGGATTTCGATATCTTCGGAGATAACCTCGGCCTTGCTGAGATCACCTCGGTGTCATAACTTGGACACGCGGCACCTCGGCTGACACGTCGGCGTCGCCTTGGCCACGTGTTGGGACTCAGAAAATATCTCCCACAACTGCCCCCTAGGTTCTATTACCTCGGCATTTTGAGGTGATGGAACCTATATCGGTACTTTTTGCCAGTACATCGGCTTAAACCGAGCTTGTTGTCTTCTTAAAGATCAAGAATTCCAAGAGCTCTTCTTACGCATATGAGCTGTCGTGCACAACAACTCAACCATTCCCAGCCACGTACTTTCCTCTTACTGGATCGTGCTTGTGACGCGCTTCTAAATCGTCTCGCGCATGCGTGCGCCGTCTGAAGCTCACGTTGTTTTAGGCGCATTAATTTCGTTTACCGCCGTTTCAAGTTTTAACAAAAACGTTTTTCCCTCTCTTCGTCGTTTCACTTTTTTGTTCAATCCTTTAGCTTTTTCTCTCTCTGGCTTTTTTCCTCAAATCCGTCATTGCTCAAGCTTTCTGAGTTCTACAACTTGCTTCGTTTACCACCTCCGGTGCAATTTCCACCATTCTTCCGCCTCTACAACCGTCAGCAGACTTCGGGATGGCAGGTGGGTGGTGGGTGGTGGTGATGGTGGTGGCGAGGGGTGGGTAGTGACGAATGGGTGGCTGGTGGGTGCGGGTGGTGGGAGGTGGCTGGTGAGTGGTGGTGACAGGTGGTGGTGGTGGGAGGTGGGTGGTAGTGGTGGAAGACGGTAGTGGAAAATGGTGGCAGGTGGTGAGTTGGGTGGTAAAAAAAAAAAAAAACTGAAAACTAAAAACGGAAACACATTTTTTGTGTTTTCATTTTTTGGCCAAATTTATAAACTGAGTCCACTTATTTATAAATCAGAAATTTTACCAAACAAGTTTTTATTTGAGTTTTTTAAATTTTTGTAAATATAAATAGAAAACTGAAAACGTAAGTGTTACCAAACGACACCTAAGTGTTTGCATGACAGTTCTCAAATGATGTTCATGCTCAAGTTTATTTTTTAAATATATCAAGCTATCATCAATAAAGACCACAACAAAATCATCAAGGTAAGTTTTAAATATTCGGTTCATTAGGTCCATAAATGCTGTAGGAGCATTAGTCACCCCAAATGGCATAACAAGGAATTAATAATGGCCATATCTTGTCCGAAATGCAATTTTCTCAACATCTTCTGCTTTCACTTTCAGCTGGTGATACCCGGATCTCAAATCAATTTTGGAAAACACTTGTGATCCCTGCAACTGGTCAAACAGGTCATCAATACGAGGTAAGGGATATTTGTTCTTTACTGTTACCTTATTCAGTTCTCGGTAGTCAATACACAAGCGCAAGGTTTCATCCTTCTTCTTCACAAATATTACCGGTGCACCCCATGGTGAAGTACTAGGTCGAATAAACCCTTTATCTAGTAAATCTTGTAACTATTCCTTCAATTCTTTCATTTCAGCAGTAGCCATTCTATAGGGAGTTTTAGAAATAGGCTGAGTGCCTGACACAATTTCAATAGTAAACTCTATCTCCCTGTCCACCAATTCTCCTGGTAATTCACTTGGAAACACATATGGGAATTCACTAACAATAGGGATGCTACTCAATTCATCAGTCACAATTTGTTCAGATAACACACAACACAGGGAACCCTGGCACCCCTTCCTGATCAATTTACATGCTTTCATTGCAGATATTAAGTAAGGTGAAGGCACTACCCCGTTACCCACAAACACAATTTCTTCCTGTTCCGGTGGTTTAAACACAACCCGTTTTGTTACACAATCAATGGTGGCACAATATTTAGTTGACAAAGTCATGCAAACACTATCAACTTAAGGTATTTTGAACAATGTTCACTTTTTCAGGTAACTTCGACAAATATTTTCATGTAAGCATCGGTACACTGAATTTACTAAGTGTTACCTGAGCAAGCATGATATTGCATATGGTACACTGAATGTGTTACCTGAGCAAGTGTAATATTGCATATGATGGCAGTATTTGCATTTCCCCCTAGTGCAGGTTGCAAAATACGTGTGAGTTTGCTGTCTCGATAAGGAACATGACCCCTGCAACAGATATTGATTGATGTACATCAACTATAAAATGAAAAAATACATTACATAGCTTTCCAAAACAATTGTAATACAATAAAAAAATTCAAAAAGTAGTCTTTAACTTTGTAATCTCTGCCTGAGTTTGTTCATCTACCCAACAAGAAGTTCGAAGAAACATACAAAGAAAATTCAAAGTACCAACCTTTATTTGTCAAGTTCGTATGAGACAAAACTCAATAAAACCCACTAAATATGTTGATGTTTAGAGCCGGCATTGATGGTTGGAAAGTATCATATGAAAGCTAGTGAGAGAGAATAATAAGAAATGCATGCAGGTAAGACAGAGAGCCAAACGAAAATCTGATGAACATAAATCATAGAAAGAGTTGAGAAATGCATGCAGGTAAGAAAGAGGGCCAAACGAAAATCTAGTGAACATAAATCATAGAAAGAGTTCACATATGAAATTGATGAGTGTTTGTTAGTTTTAAATTGGGAATTCTAGAAAAACAGAGAGATTGATGGATAATGGATTACAGATGAAATTGAGTTGGGCACTAAAGCATTTAACTCAAATTCCAATGCTAATACCTATATCTACATTCACATATACAAAAAATGAGTACTGTGAGAATCGATTGAATTACCCGTAGCTCTATAGGGTTTGGTCGTCCTTCAAGATCTGCTATCATCGGCACTAAGGTGGTGGTTCTGCGGCAGAAGGAGGTGCTGCGCGACGGGCAACGGCGGATCGGTGATGGCAAATCCAACACTGATGGTGATTGTTGTTGTTGGGGATGGCAGTTTCAAAGCTAGAGTTTCCAATACAGGGGAGAGAAAGATAATCAAACCCTAGCTATTGCTAAGTGAGTGGTGAGAGGGGGAGAGGGGAAGACGGGGGAGAGAGTGTTTGAGTTGGGCACTAAAGATGAGATTAGGGTCGATTGAGAGAGAGAGGGGGGGTAAGATGAGATTAGGGATTGGGGGTTTGTTGAGCGGGAATGGGAAAAAAAAAAGTGGGGAAGGGGGCGGGAATGGAAAATAAAAAGGGGCGGGAATGAAAATAATTTTTTTTTTCTTTTCAGAAATAAAATTTAAATAACAAAATAATATTGTTTATTTATTTTTATTTTTTTTTGCGACGGGGTTATCGTCGTCAAAAAAAATTATTTTTTGTTAAAAATATATATTTTTTTGTAGTTAATGAATTTTTTTTTTAAATTCTTTTTTTTTAGTTACTAAGATTGAAAATTTATTTGTTTCATTTTTATTTCAATGAAAAAAATATTATTATTTTTTATTTGGTAGAAGTAGGGGTAATATTTTAATGAAAAATATTTTTCACTAAAATAAAAGTTAATTTTCTGTGGTCAATGAAAAATGTTTTTCTACGGCCCATTTTTTTTTATTACTAAAAATCATGAACTAATTTTTTGTGGTAGAAGAGAAGGAGTGGCAGTAGTGGTGAAGGTGGTGGATAAGAGATGATGG